TCTGATATGACTGTACCATTAGAAAACCTAAGAAAAAACTGTACTGAGAAGCTACCAGAATAGGTAGATAGTTTTGATAAGGAGCTGGATACAAGATAAAATTATCACCTGTAGTCCCAGCCATTTGGGAGGCTGAGGTGGGAGAGTAACTTGAGTCCAGGAGTTTGACACCAGCCTGGGCAACACAGGGAGAACCTATCTCTACAGAAAAATTCAAAAATTAGCTGAGTCTGGTAGTGCACACCTGTAGTCCAAGCTACTTGGGAGGCTGAGGAGGGAGGATCATTTGAGCCTGAAAGGTTGAGGCTACAGTGAGCTGTGATCATGCCAGTGAACTTCAAGGCAAGATCCTGTCTCAAAAAATTAAAATAAAAGAGAAAATTATAAAAATAGGTTCTTCCTATACTAGCAGTAAGCAGATGGGACTAGCAAAAATAAGTCTTAATGACAACAAAAATATAAATACGCAAAAATAAATTTCACCAAAAAAGATAAAAAGATGATGGATTTAGAAAATTATAAATATCATTGCAGCATGTAAGACATAATCAAACAGACACATCAAATCCCTAGATATAAAGAAAGGCTTAATGTAATAAAAACATTACATCTCCCTAACTATTATATTAATGTAAATATAATTCCAATCAAAAGCATAATAGTTCAGTTTTTTTGTTTTTTGTTTTTTTGTTTTTATGGTTTTTTTTTTTTTGAGACAGTCTCACTCTGTCACCCAGGCTGGAGTGCAGTGGCACGATCTTGGCTCACTGCAACCTCTGCCTCCCGGGTTCAAGCAATTCTCCTGCCTCAGCCTTCCGAGTAGCTGGGATTACAGGCGTGTGTCACTGTGCCCAGCTAATTTTTGTATTATTAGTAGAGACAGGGTTTCACCATGTTGGCCAAGCTGGTCTTAAACTCCTGACCTCAAGTGATCCGCCCGCCTAGGCCTCCCAAAGTGCTGGGATTACAGGTGTGAGCCACCTTGCCCAGCAATAGTTGAGGTTTTGTTTTTTTTTTTGAGACAGTCTCACTCTGTTGCCCAGGCTGGAGTGCAGTGGTGTGATCTCTACTCAATGCAACCTCCATCTTCTGGGTTCTAGCAATTCTCCTGCCTCAGCCTCCCAAGAAGCTGGGATTACAGGTGCATGCCACCAGGGTGGCTAATTTTTATATTTTTTAGTAAAGACAGGGTTTCACCATATTGGCCAGGCTGGTCTCGAACTCCTGGCCTCAAGTGATCTGCCCGCCTTGGGCTCCCAAAATGCTGGGATTATAGACGTGAGTCACCTCGCCCAGCCACAACGATTTAGTTTTGTTGTGTTTTTGAGTGTTTTTTTGGGGGGGGGTTGGGGGACGAGTTGGTAGCATTCATTTTGAAACTTGATTAAATGATTTTAAACTTCAGAGAATTCCTAGAAAATAAATTTGCAAGAACAAAAATCCCTTGAAATCAAATAGATTACAGACACAAAATAGAGTTCAGGTCAAGCTAAGTATATTTGTGACCTTATATGACTGAATTGTGGGTACAAGGTGGTGTGTTTCATAAATGGTGCCAACTGACAATACTGAATTTTACCTCAGCCTGGTGAGCAGTGCAGGTCAAAAAATCCCCTTACTCTAAAGGGAAAATGGCTTTTCTGGAAAATGGCTTACTGCAAAGAACCATCCTTCCCCATATGACTTAGAAGTCACGGATGTCCCCTGTTTACCTATGAGAAGCCCTGACACCCACTCTCCAAATTCCCATTCTTTGCCTCATAGATGACAAGCCTAACTGCTTGTCCCCACTGATCAATCGGAACGAAATGCTCTTTAGCCAAACTTGAACCAGGCTTCTTTCCTACAAGCTCCTAACTCTGCTTGCCCCTAAGCCTGGGCAAGCATCAAAAAAAGTCGAAATTCCCCCCCTCCCAACGGACCCTGCTTCTCAGCTTCTCCTGGGAATAGGCGGACCACAGTGGGACAATTTCCTGGCAGACCCCACTGGCCATTCCCCCTTGTTTGTGCAGCTTCCTTTCCACAGATTCTGCTTATCTCTGCCTGCCTCCCTACCCTGTACAAGAAAAGCCTTTTTCTGTTTGGTTTCAAGATGCTCTCAGGTTTCTGAGCTGGGAGCATTCTCCCTTTTGCAATAGTCTGTCTTTCTAATTAAAGTCTCTGATTTTATTTGACACAGAAAAAAGCGTGACACAGGCTTCTTGTTCAAGATTGATCTTGATTTCATACCATATACCACAGTAAATTCCAATTAGATTAAAGTAGAAAAAAAACTAAAGCAATAACAACACTGAAATAAATGTTAAGATTATCTTTCTATCTGGAATAGGGAAGGGAAACTAGGCAAGATGGGATATACAAAAGCCATAAAAAGAAAGTTTAGACATATCTGATCAGAGGCTACATTTCACTAGTTACATATTACACATAAAATTTTTCTTTCTTTCTTTCTTTTTTCTTTTTTCTTGAGATGAAGTCTTGCTCTATCACCCAGGCTGGAGTGCAGTGGTGTGAGTTCAGCTCACTGCAACCTCCACTTCCCAAGTTCAAGCGATTCTCCTGCCTCAACCTCCCAAGTAGCTGGGATTACAAGCAACCACCACCATACCTGGCTTTTTTTTTTTTTTTTTTTTTTTTTTTTTTTTTTTTTTTTTTTTTTTTTTTGTAGAGATACCACACCCAGCTACTTATTCTTTATTATTTTTTTTTTATTTTTAGTAGAGATGGGGTTTCACCATTTTGGTCAGGCTGGTCTCGAACTCCAGGCCTCAGGTGACCAACAGCCTCAGCCTCCCAAAGTGCTGGGATTACTGTGCCCAGCCCACATAAAATTTTTCTAATTGCACATTTAAAAAAACATAAAATGCAAAAGACAAAAGGACTTTGGGGGAAAATACTGCAATGTAACTGACAGATGGTTAATAGCCTTAATGGACAAAGATGTTAATATCTCTAATGTAATATCCCTAATGTACAGTGTAACTGACAGACTGTTAATATCCCTAGTGTACAATGTAATTTGTACACTGTTTACAAATTGATAAGAAAAGGACAAATCACCCCAGAGAAAACTGGACAAAGGATATGAACATCTGCAAAAGAGAAAAGCCAAATGGCCAACAGACCAAAACAATCCTCAATTGCACAAGTAGTCAGAAAAATACAAAATTAAAGACAGCATCAACATCCAGCGCTGGAGGGGATTTGCCTTAATGAACTTAATGATTTTGCTGGTAGGACTAGGAAATCTTATTATCTTTTGGGGGAAGGAATTCGGCTATATCTATTCAGCAATGAAACACCGTTACCTGCAGTTAATAAAACTTCAAAACATAGGAAGCAAAAAATTGAATAGCACAAGGAAAAATTTGACAATACAGTCTCTCTTTCTCTCCTCTCTCTCTCTCTCTCTTTCTCCCCCCCACATCACCCCCAGTTGACAAGCTAAAGGGAATTATCAGGAAACACACATTTTAAAAGGCCCAACACACAAGCTTGAACCGATAGAGCCGTAGAGTACGATAAACCCAACAACTAGAAGATACAGTGTTTTCAATCAAGACACAAAACCATTTTTGAAAGCTGGCCTCGTACTTGAGCCTTAAGGCAAGTTTCATCAAATTTCAAGCTCAACATTCTTGGGCCACAAGGCAAATGGGCTTAGAAATCACTAACACAGGGATTAACTTCTTGTTCGTTTGCGGAAATGCAAAACGGTGTTAAGACCTGTAACATTTTCTGCAGTCCCTCTAAATTCCTTCTTTGAATAATCGATTCCTAGAACAGGACGCAATGGACCAAGCTGGGTCAACCTGCCGACAGCTCCATTGGGCAGCATGTCCACCCCTGATGACCAAAGCCCACCAAACGTGCAGCTGGCACTCGGCCGCCTTTGTTTCCTTCCCCTAGAATAAAACTCCGCTGCTTTCCCACATTCCTGGAGCAGCCGGAATAAAGCGCCCATAGTCTTGCCCTTTGAGTCTCAGAGGATGTTTGCCACTCCGACAATGGACTTTTAAATAACTCAGGGGTCAAAAGGCGTGTGTAGGGGGAGAGTTACAAATCAGCACTTGAAACCGAACACGAACAAAAATCAAATCCAAACTAAAACAACAAATCAAATCTTGGATCTTTTTTTTTTTTTTTTTT